TCGAGCTTATCACTAGACTAACCTTTCTTCTTTTCGGCTTTGTTTTATTTTTAATTGATATATAATAACTGTACACCTTTACAGGGTAACTCATGGTATATCAACATAAACATACATTATATAATCATTAAATTGGGGTGAATAGAATATCTGTCACCTCAAACATTCATCATTTCTTTGTGGTCACACACAAAATCCTTTCCTAGATACTTTGAAAAAATGTAATATATTATGGACACAACAAAAATGAAATCAGTAGGTCAATAGCAAAGACATGGAACCAGTGTAATATCTATCACTTAGCTGAATAAATGGAGAAAATGTGGTACCTATACACAAGAGAACACTGTCCAGCCATGAAAGATAAAGGAATGCTGTCAGTTTGAGCAATGTGAATGACACTAAAGATCACTGTGATAAGAGGCATATGTCAGGCATAGAAAGACCCATATTTCTACTTTTAAGTAAACTTTTTTCATTAAATTAGAAACAAGCTTGTTTTACATGTCAATCACAGTTCCCTCTCCCTCCCCTCCTCCCCTGACACCCAACAACACCTTATCCCATCCCCTTTCTGCTCCCCAGGGAGGGTGAGACCTTCCATGGGGTATCTTCAAAGTCTGTCATGTAATTTGGAGCAGGGTCTAGGCCCTCCCCTGTGTGTCTAGGCTGAGAGAGCATCCCTCTATGTGGAATGGGCCCCCAAAGTCAATTCATGTACTAGGGATAAATGCTGATCCACTATCAGAGGCCACATGGAATGTCCAGGCCTCCTAACTGACACCCACGATCAGGGGGTCTGGAACAGTCCTATGCTGGTTTCCTAACAATCAGTCTGGGGTCCATGATCTCCCCTATGTTCAGGTCATCTGTCCCTGTGGGTTTCTCCAGCCTGCTTTTGACCCCTTTGCTCATCAAACCACCCTCTCTGCAACTGGATTCCAGAGTTCAGCTCAGTGTTTAGCTGTGGGTGTCTTCTACTTACACCAGCTACTGGATGAAGGCTCTAGGACAACACATGAGGTAGTCATCAATCTCATTATCGGAGAATGGAGTTTAAGGTAGCCTCTCAACCACTGCTTAGATTGTTAGTTGGGGTAAAACTTGTAGATCTCTGGACATTTCCCTAGTGCCAGATTTCTCTTTAAACCTATGATGGCTCCCTCTATTATGGTATCTCTTTTCTTGCTCTTCTTTATTCTTTCCCTGACTTGAACATCTGGCTCTCTCATGTCTACCTCTCACCTCCTCTTTTCCTCTTCTCTTTCTCCTAGCTCCCTCTCCCCTGCCCCATGCTCCCAATAAGCTCAGGAGATCTTGTCCCTTTCCCCTTCTCTTGGGGACCATGTATGGATCTCTTAGGGTCCTCCTTGTTTCCTAGCTTCTCTGGTGGTGTGGATTGTAGGCTGGTAATCCTTTGCTCTATGTCTAAAATCCATATATCAGTAAGTGCATACCATGTTTGTCTTTGTGTGACTGGGTTACCTCATTCAGGATGGTTTCTTCTAGTTCCATCCATTCGCCTATGAGTTTCAAGATTCCTTTGTTTTGTTTGGTTTTTCTGCTGAGTAGTACTCTATTGTGTAAATGTACCACATATTCTCCATCCATTCTTCACTTGAGGGGCATCTAGGTTGCTTGTAGTTTCTGGCTATTACAAATAATGCTGCTAAACAACATAGTGGAACAGATGTCCTTCTTGTATGAATGTGCTTCTTTTGGGTATATGCCTAAGAGTGGAATTGCTGGATCTTGTGGTGGACTGACTGATTCCCATTTTCCACAGGAACCACCATACTGATTTCCAAACTGTCTGTATGAGTTTGCACTCCCACCAGTAGTGGAGGAGTGTTCCTCTTTCTCCACATCCTCTACAGCATAAACTGTCATTGGTGTTTTTTTTTTTTTTTTTAGCCATTCTGAAAGAAGAAAGATGGTATCTCAGAGTTGTTTTGTTTTGTATTTCCTTGGTGGCTAAGGATGTTGAGCACTTTCTTAAGTGTCTGTCAGCCATTTTAGACCCCACCATTGAAAATTCTCTATTTAGCTCTGTACTCCACTTTTTAATTGGATTATTTGGTGTTTTGGTGACTAGCTTCTTGAGTTCTTTCCATATTTTGGAAATCAGCCCTCTGTCAAATGTGGGGTTGGTGAATATCTTTTCCCATTCTATGGGCTGCCATTTTATCTTGTTGACTGTGTCCTTTGCCTTAGAGAAAGAAGTTTCCCTGTTTCAGGAGGTTCCATGTTATTAATTGTAGATCTCAGTGTCTGTGCTACTGGTGTTCTGTACAGGAAGTGGTCTCCTTTACCAATTCGTTTGAGGTACCTCCTACTTTCTCTTCTAAGAGATTCAGTGTGGCTGGATTTATATTAAGATCTTTGATCCACTTGGACTTAAGTTTTGTGCATGGTGATAAATATGGAGCTATCTGCAGTCTTCTACATGCCAGCATCCAGTTATGCCAGCACCATTTGTTGAAGATGCTTTCTTTTTTCCATTGTATAATTTTAGCTTTTTTGTCAAAAATCAGGTGTTCATAGGAGTGTGGGTCCATATCAGGGTTTTCAATTTGATTCTATTGGTCTACCTGTCTATTTTTGTGGCAATACCAAGCTGTTTTCAGGACTATAGCTCCATAATAGAGCATGAAGTCAGGGATGGTGATGCCTCGGGACATTTATTATACAGGGTTGTTTTGACACTTCTGGGTCTTTTTTTGTCCATATAAAGTTGAGAATTGTACTTTAAAGGTCTGTGAAGAACTGTTCTGGGATTTTGATGAGGATTGCATTGAATCTGTAGATTGCTTTTTGCAAGACTGTCATTTTTACTATATTTATTCCTCCTATCCAAGAGTATGGGACATCTATCTATTTTCTGGTATCTTTTTAAATTTCTTTCTTTAAAGACTCAAAGATCTTGCTATATAGGTCTTTCACTTGTTTGGTTAGCGTTACCCCAAGATATTTTATGTTATTTGTGGCTATTGTAAAGGGTGATGTTTCTCTGATTTCTCTCTCAGCCTATTTATGGTCTGTATATAGTAGGGCTTCTGATTTTTTTGGAGTTAATCTTGTATCCTGCCACTTTGCTGAAGGTGTTTATCAGCTGTAGGAGTTCCCTGGTAGAGTTTTTTTGGGGGGAGTCACTTATGTAAACTATCATATCATCTGCAAATAGTGAAAGTTTGACTTCTTCCTTTCCAATTTGCATCCCCTTGATTTCCTTTTGTTGTCTTATTGCTCTAGCTAGAACTTCAAGTACAGTATTGAAGAAATATGGAGAGAGTGGACAGCCTTGTCTTGTTCCTCATTCTAGAGGAATTGCTTTGAGTTTCTCTCTATTTAGTTTGATATTGGCTGCTGGTTTCTGTCTGGTGGTCCTGTCTGGTGGTGAGAGTGGGGTGTTCAAGTCTTCCACTATAAGTGTGTGAGGTTTTATGTGTGATTTGAGTTTTAGTACTGTTTCTTTCATGAATGTGAATGCCTTTGTAATCGGGGCATAGATATTCAGAATTGAGACTTCATCTTGATGGATTACTCCTGTGATGAGTAGGAAGTGACCTCCTTCATCTCTTTTGATTGATTTTAGTTTAAAGTCCAATTTGTTTGATATTAGGATTGCCACCCCCACTTGTTTCTTGGGTCCATTTGATTGGAAAGTCTTTTCTCAACCCTTTACTTTGAGGTACTATCTGTCTTTGAAGTTGGGGTGTGATTCTTATATGCAGCAGAAGGATGAGTTCTCTCTTTGTATCCATTCTGCTAGCCTGTGTCTTTTTATAGGTGAGTTAACATTATTAATATTGAGGGATATTAATGACCATTGATTGTTCATTCTTGTTTTGGATTTGTTGGTGGTGTTGGAATTGTATGTGGATTTCCACCCCTTTTTTTCTTTTGGGTATTGGTAAAGTGGGATTATTATTTCCTATGTTTTTCTGGTTGTCGTTTACTTCTTTGGGTTGGAGTTTTCCTTCCAGAACTTTCTGTAGGGCTGGATTAGTGGATATGTATTGTTTAAATCTGTTTTTGTCATAGAATATCTTGTTTTCTCCAACTATATTGATTGAAAGCTTTGCTGGGTATAGTAGTCTGGGCTGGCATCCATGGTCTCTTAGTGTTGGTAGAGTAGCTATCCAGGACCTTCTGGCTTTCAGAGTTTCCATGGGGAACTCAGGTGTAATTCTTATAGGTTTGTCCTCATATGTTACTTGACCTTTTTCCTTAGCTGCTCTTAATATTCTTTCTTTATTTTGTATGTTTGGGGTTTGATTATTATGTTATGAAGGGACTTTTTTGTGGTCCACACTATTTGGTGTTTTGTAAGCTTCTTGTACTTTCATTGGCATGTTTTTTCTTTAGGTTGGGAAAGTTTTCTTTATGATTTTGTTGAATATGTTTTTTGCATCTTTGAGGTGAGCTTCTTTGCCTTCTTCTATACCTATTATTCTGAGGTTTGGTCTTTTCACGGTGTCACTTATTTTCTGGATATTTTTTGTAAGGGATTTATTGTATTTTATTTATTGTCTCTTTCACTTTTCATGTCTTGGACTGTTTGAATTGTTTCCTTCATCTGTTTGATCATTGTTTTCTTGGCTTTTCTTGCTTTCTTTAAGAGATTTGTTGATTTCTTGTATTTTTGGTTTGTTTTTTCTTCCATTTCTTTAAGGGATTTTTCTCATATCCTCTTTGAGGGACTTTATCATTTTCATAAATTTGTTTTTTAAGGTCATTGTCTTCTGCTTCATCTGAAGAATGAAGCATCCCATCTGTTGGGATGTTTAGGTCTTATTGGTGTAGAGTCCCAAGACTCTGGTAGTATCATATTGGTTTTTCTGTTGTTGAATGTGTTTTTATATTATCTTCTTCCCATCCCTTCTTCCAGTGGGTTCAGGAGGAGTCTCTTCCTTTCCTGGTGGGTACTGGTCCAAAGTTCCCTTCCGGTGGGTGCAAGCAAGACCAATACTCAGATCGTACTCCTCCTTTGTGGGTAGATGTGGGACTACTACTGGGGCCTCAGCAGTCTCTGGGTGGGCTGGATGCCAGATTGGGATCCCCAGTGCAAAGTCCCCAGGCCTCAGGCAGCTCTGAGCAGGGCACTGGAAGGTGCCCCCACTCATACTTCAAATCTAAAGAAATAATTTGTGTAGAAGTTTAGAAAAAATATTGCTTGCCAGAGACTGATGAAGAAAGGGGAAAACTTCCCTACATCAGTGAGAGCAAAGTTACAGTTAGGAGGAAAGAGTTTGGATGTTCTACTACACAGTAAAGTGATTAAAGATTTTTAAGCTAGCCACAGCATAACCTGTATTCACAACAAGCAATTAACACATCACTTTCTGGTATCTGAACAGTCACTATTCTGGAGCAGTGCTCTGTGATCTCTAACCCTAAACCTAACTCTAAACCCTAACCCTAACATACAAAACATGATTAAATGTGGCACAAAAGTTACAAGGGCAAAAGCATATTAGTGTATTGTTGTCTCTGAAAAATCATACAGTAGAAAGAAACAAGTAGGTCTTTCCTAACCATCCACCATGGTGGGTGGATGAAAGACCCGAGCTAACATGGGGTTAGCTCGTTAAACAACAATAAAGCCTTATGCAGTTTTGCATCAAGCTTTCAAATCTGCCTGGTGATTGGGATGACCTCGGTCCTGGGCTGAGATCCTGGAGGCCTGAGCTTCCAGGGGTCTTACATTTGAGGGCTCATCCTGGATATGCGACCACCCCTCACCTGAGTGGAGTCAATCATGGAGGTAAGTGGGTACCCTCTATTGTCTGTCTTTGTGTTTTTGTGCTGGCTGAAATCTGGTTCTGTGCTTTGCAGTCGCTCATGTCTCGGGAAGAGACAAGAGCTCTGGTCTCGGGAGGAGACAGAGTGTGATCAGCAGACATGCTAGGGGATCACCGACTGCCACCCTGGAAGATGTTCCAAGAAGTCTGGGGGAACCTCAGGGACGCTTGGGAGATTCCCATCTGGGAGCCGGTAAGGGTACGATAGTTCTCCTGGATTGGGGAAGTTATATGGCCTCCCGGCCGTCTGTATTTTTGGAGTGGTTTTGTCTGTCTATGTGGAAACAGACATCTGTTAGTCTTTGTCTGTGTGTCTTGGACCCTCGGTCTGACTTTTGACCACTGGACGGACGTTAAGGACCATAGTCAGACAATTAAAGTTCTAACACCCCCTTTCGTTGAGTCACATGGCGCCACACTAAGTAACTTTCTTTTGTCTTTGTTTCTGTATGGTTTCTGTAAAGCCTGGAGGGTTGGAACAGGCTGGGTGACTGCGCAGTTGAGCAGGTTTGTAATCTATGTTATCTGATGTGTTGCAATCCACACCCTGCCTGCATGCTTTTCGGTGCTGTGTCAATTTTATGTTTTCAGGTCTGCTGTTTCTGTTAATTTTGTAAATGTAAAGGTCCTATAATGGGATCACTATCGACATCTGTAAGTAGGCCTACATGAATTGTTTAGGGCGGAGGTTCCGGCAGCAGCCTTCCAACTGTGCTGTCTTTCCAAGTTTCACATTTGTGCTGTGTGTTTGTTAAGCATCTCTTTCTGTCCCTACTGCCCAGGAACGTGGCATGCATGGGTCAGGGGTCTTTTCTTGCTGCCCTGAGCACGTGGCATGGGACAGGAGTTCTTCTGCCATGTGCCATGGGTTAGAGTGTGTTGCATTGGAGTCCCCTGGGGCTGCTACTCTGAACTCCAACTATTGCTGCAGCCCTCACAGCTGAGTCTGGCCGTTGTGAGTCTGTTTCTCCGTCCTCACCTGCTGGTCTGTGAGGCATGGGAAGTGGGGCTGTCTCTGCCCCAACTGCCATCCTGCCATGGGACCTGGCTTACAGCGGAAGTTTCCCTGCCCTGAGCACATGGCTGCAAGGCTACCATCTGCCTGGCTGCCCAGCCTTCTCTGTGCTCCACACACGTGGTATGCAGGGAAACCACAGGGGTCTTTATCCCACCCCTGCCTTGGCAGAGGGTCTGTGATTACCAGCACCCCCCACCCAGGTCTCTGCCCTGAGCACATGGCCTGATCCAGATGTTCTAAGAAAAAAACGGCCTTAAAGTTATTTAAAAAAAAAAACTTAAAAAGGACTTTAATAAGAATTTTTATGTTGACTGAAAAATGAAAGAAAATGTAGGAGACTAAAGTGATAAAGAGAGAAAGGAAAAAAGAAATTTGTCTAAGAATGTCTTAAGAAAATCAGAGGAATGAACTAAAGGTATATAGAAAGTTATAAAAGATTAAAACAAGTAGTAGAAGGTCAAAAAAAGGTTGTTGAAAGTCACAAAAAATGTAAACTGTTTGTTTTGGTTTCTCATGTCTACAAATAATAAATTTTAAAAATTGGTAATATAAGTTAAAATTTTAACCATATTAAGTTAATTCTGCTTTAAAAGTCATGTTTATTTCTCAAGTAAATTATGTATACTTTTTTTAAAATGTTCTGTTTCCTGGCATAACCTAAGTTCTGTTATAAGGATACAGCTAAAATAAATGGTGCAGGTCACTGCCATTTTGTAGCCAGCCACATGGCACAAAATGACTGGTAGCCATTTTGCTGAAGTTGAAAAAAGATACTTAAACTGCCATCTTGACTAAAGATGAACACATGGAATTTAGAGGTACCATCTTAGAAACAAGTTTTTCAATTAAGATTTAAAATGTTAATGCTTCTATATATTACAGAAAGATATTAAGGGAATTTAAATTTCTTTTTAAAACCAGTTTTTTAAATGTTTATGTTTTTTAAATGTCTTTTTTATTAATGTTTGTACTTAAAGAGCTTCAATTTGAATCATTTTTAAGCAAAGCCTGACAATGTAAAGTTCTTGTTTTATAAAAGCTGCTAATCTATTATAAGATGTTACATTTTATGTTTTGTGGAGTTAGGTGTAGGGGGTTGGTGGCACACGCCTTTAATCCCAGCACTCAAGAGGCAGAGGCAGATGGATCTTTGTGAGTTCTAGGCCAGCTTGGTCGGCAGAGCGAATTCCAGGACAGGCTCCAAAGTCACAGAAAAACCCTGTCTCAGAAAGCAGTTAAGTTTAAGCAAGCAGCTAAAATGTGTACATGTAGCTACTTTTTAAGGAATATAAGGTAACTCTCTGCAGTTTTAAATTCAGCTGTGCTAAGTTTCAAGTATTTTACTAAGTTAAAGCCAGTCAGACTGAATTAATTACAGAAATAAGACCTTATCTAGCCACCTGTGTGCTTAATGTGTGCTTAAGGAAAGTAACTAAAACAGACAGACAGACCTCTATTGCTTCAGAGACCTGCAGAATATGGCATTTAAAATGTTATTTTAAAAATTTATAATATCAGACAGACTGCCAGATCCTGACAGTGACCCAAAGTCTCCAAAGAAGATTATGAGTCACCCCAGTTCCTGCATCTGGACTAGTGATTGAGATGCTCAGATGTGATACCTGCTGCCTGCTAGGACCTGGCCAAGACTGTGGACAAAGCTTCTAGACACTGGAAAATTGATTGTACCCCTTTGCCTAGACAAAACAAGGTCCGTCTTTTCCATGTCCCTCTTCCACAGAGAAAAAAAAAAAAAACTCTCACCTTAAAGGCCTGGCGAAGATTGCTGTTCTTTGATACTTCTGCCTCCAGCGATAATGGAGAGACTTGGGTATGGCTAACTGTATATGGACTGGCTTCTGTTGCTTTTTAATAGATTCGGAAACTGTATAAAATATACCCTTCTCAGATCTCTGAAATATTAATGGTTGTCAGCTAGACAGCAACAGACAGTCAGATCCACAAGACTATAGTCAGTATGTTAGCTGATAAAGTACTGTTCAGGCACAAGCTCAAGGTTTTTAGGTTTATTTTGGTTGTCATCTAAGTATAAACGTAAAGGGCTTTTCTTCAGTCCAATGGCACCTCTGTCCAATCCATACCTAGCTCTCTGGACAGAAGAAAAATGTACATGCGTCTAGACCAAATCTGTATTTTTGCTAGGACTCAAAGTTATAAATATGTTCCTACTGTTTGCACAGATCCAGATTTCTGCTTTTTCTGCACTGTGGGCTTCAGTAAATACATTTTTTTGTTTGTTTGTTTTTCGAGACAGGGTTTCTCTGTGAGCTTTGGAGCCTATCCTGGCACTTGCTCTGGAGACTAGGCTGGCCTCGAACTCACAGAGATCCACCTGCCTCTGCCTCCCAAGTTCTGGGATTAAAAGCGTGTGCCACCAATGCCTGGCTATAAGTTTTAACTTCTGTTCCCAGTTTAAACATGTCTTAAACAGGTTTCTGCTTCTGGCAGACACATCTGAGTATCAATTGCTGACTACAGGCTGTTCCTAAGTAGATTTCGAACCCTGAACTTTCTGTGGATGTGAACTAGTCCAGCTGATATGGACAACCCCTGTCTCTGCAACAGAGTCTGCCAACCATAATCTCCTTATGAAATCCCCATTGCCTAAATTCCCATTTTCGCTTTGACTAGCATTTTAGCTTTTTTGGGGTCCCTAACAGCGTCCCAGAGTCATCAGGAAGTAGAATGGGAATGAATACATCGCCCATTTTCCCTGGTTAAAATGCTAAGTCAAAAGGAACTCCCTTACATGGGGGATGCCAATATCTCTCACTCTCTGACGGGGACACTGGAGAGACAGCAATTCCATGATTGGAATTTTTAAAAAAATGGGGGAATGAAGGGACCAGCTCCCCATTTCCGCAGCCATAACAGCCGAACATATGCTTGTCTGACCATGTTTTAGTCACTAGGAAGTCAGATGCCTGCCTTGTGGCAAGGAACCATTCAGAAGTTAACTGGTGGTGCTACCCTTTACAGCTCTGGGTGTGCTTTACAGACAAATGCACAGCACAGAGCATAGCAACCACTCTGGGAGGGCCTATGAGCCATAACAACCAGTTGGCCAATCAACACAGGGCAAACCCTCCAAGCCTGGAGGAACACCAATCCTGAGCCTGTGCGTCCCCCTAGACACTCCCCTTACGCTGCCCTATAAGATCTTTATGCAGACAGTTCGAGCTGTCTTTCCTAGCCATCCACCATGGTGGGTGGATAAAAGACCTGAGCTAACATGGGGTTAGCTCGTTAAACAACAATAAAACCTTGTGCAGTTTTCGTCAAGCTTTCAACTCCGCCTGGTGATTGGGGTGACCTCGGTCCTGGGCTGAGATCTTGGAGGCCTGAGCTTCCGGGGGTCTTACAATATAATACCCTGTAAATCTTGAGTCTAGCATAATTGACTCTAAGAGGTCATCTACAATCTTTTAAGAAACATTTTTGTTGTTTTTATATTTTTAATTTTTATTTTTTTAATAATTTATTTACTTTTATTTCATTTGCATTGGTATTTTGCCAGCATATATGTCTGTGTGAGAGTGTCAGATGTCGGAGTTAGAGACAGTTGTTAGCTGCCACATGGGTGCTGGGAATTTAACCCAAGTCCTCTGGAAGAGCAGTCAGTGCTCTTAACCGCTGAGCCATCTCCCCAGCCCCAGATTTTTTTCTTTTCTTTTTTTTTTTTAATTATTTTTATTTTTTATTTTAGATTTTTTTATTTTCAAGTATGTGTGCCACATGTATGCAGGTGCCAGAAGAAAGCATCTTATCCCCTATAAATGTAGTTACAAATGGTTGTGAACTGTGGGTGCTGGGGATTAACTTTAGGTTCCTGGAAAACAACAAGTGCTCTTAAGTGCCGAACCATCTCTTTAGCCCCACAACAAAAATGTTTTTGTTTATTTATTTATTTTTAAACAAAGCCTTTTTGCTTTGCTTTTTTGAGACAGGGTTTCTCTGTATAGCCCTCGGTATTCTAGAGCTCTCTCTGTAGACCAGGCTATCCACTCAGAGATCCACCTCTCTCTGCCTTTGCCTCCTGAGTGCTGGAGTGAAAGGTGTCTGCAACTACCACCCAGCTCCCAAAACAAATTCTGATCGATTTTTAAATGCACTATAGATAGTAAAGTGTGAAAAAATGGCATTTTTGATTCCATAAAATTGAACATTTTAACTTAGTGTGTGTAGTGTGGACAACTCCTGGACTTAGATGACAAGACTGGTTTCTGGGAGTGGTATGACGTGGTACTTTTGGACAAATGTTTAGCTGCCAGCAGCAGCTTTCTTCCATTGTCTTGGTGATTTGAGCACTGAAGAGAGCTCTGATCTTCTTTCTATGGTAGCAGAATAAGTGTCTAGAGGAGGATGGGCAAGGATGATCTTGCTGATGGCTTGTGTCTGGGTTCCCAGGGGAGAACATTAATATCTACTGGAGTCCCGATGGGCAGACTGTTGCTGTGGGCAACAAGGATGATGTTGCTGGTTTTATTGATGCCAAGACATACCGTTCCAAAGCGGAAGAGCAGTTCAAGTTTGAGGTCAATGAAATCTCCTGGAATAACGACAATAACATGTTCTTCCTGACCAATGGCAACGATTTTATCAACATTCTCAGCTACCCCAAACTAAAGCCTGTGCAGTCCATCAACGCCCACCCTTCTAACTGCATCTGTATCAAGTTTGACCCCATGGGGAAGTATTTTGCCACAGGAAGCGCAGATGCTTTGGTTAGCCTCTGGGATGTCGATGGGTTAGTGTGTGTGCGGTGCTTCTCTAGGTTGGACTGGCCTGTGAGGACCCTTAGTTTTAGCCACAATGGGAAAATGCTGGCGTCGGCCTCAGAGGATCATTTCATTGACGTAGCTGAAGTAGAGACAGAAGACAAGCTGTGGGAGGTGCAGCGTGAGTCCCTGACCTTCACCGTGGTGTGGCACCCCAAGAGGCCTCTGCTAGCGTTTGCCTGTAATGACAAAGATGGCAAATATGACAGCAGTCAGGAAACTGGGACTGTGAAGCTATTTGGGCTTCCGAATGACTCCTGAGAGGGGGCTTGAGCAGGGGAGGTGCAGACTTTCATTTGTATAGTTTGATCTGTTCTCTTGGACGTCGTGGGCAATCTAAATGTTTATAAATTGTAAAAATTACAAAAAACATTGATTAGACTGTGCATCCCTAAAAAAAAAAGAAAAGAAATAAGTATAATTTTTATTGAATCTACGTCATTGTGGTATAACAATCTTTTCTATATAATTATTAGGCCAAAGAAAAACAAATATGTGAATATTTTAAAGGTGAAAATAAAGGAACTGAAGCAGTTAAGAGAACATCTTTCTCGTTCAGAGAACCCAAGCTTAGTTCCCAGCACCAATATCAGGTAGCTCAAAACCTTAGCTCCAGCTGCATATACTCTAGCACCCCCTTCTGGCCTCCACAAGATTTGCATTAATGTGCACATACTAACCCACACAAACATATACACATAACTGAAAACAAAACAAATATTTTTATAGGTGAAAGTGATTGTTTCTGATTTGCTTATTTCTTTGCTGTATTTTATACGTGTGTTTGGAAGGATACATCCTCCAGCTTTTGTTTTCCCCTTCTTATACCTTTTTGTGTTGCTTTGTTTTATTACATGAGAATCTTCCTTGTTGTAGAATATTATTTTAAGATATGTTACATTCATTTATTCTGTGGAACATTTGTTTAACGATGCAAAGATTGCTGCATTCTTATGAGTTTAACTCTGTGAAGCCATGTTACTTTGCCTGTTTAAAACATCTGATTGGTCTAATAAAGAGCTAAACAGCCAATACCTTGGCAGGAAAAGATATGCACAGCTGGCAGGCAGAGAAAATAAATAGGAGGAGAAATCTGAGAGGAGGAAGGAGCAAGAACAAGGAGAGGGGGACACTAGGGGCCAGCTACCCAGCCACATGGCCAGCCAAGAAATAAGAATGAAAGTAAGATATACAGAAGTAAGAGAAAGGTAAAAAGCTGGGTGATGGGCCCCCCAAAAGGATAAAACAACCAACAGCACTTCCTGGTGAGTTTTCTTCACTTGATTTTATGTTTCCCCTTTACTCCTCATGGGGCAGACAATGGCAGTAACAGATAAAATGTTTTTACAGCAGTCCCAATTTTTCCCCTTTAGAATACACTTGTACAAGGATTGACTCAAAATTGATCAAAGACCTTAAGGCAAAGTTTGACATTTTTAAATCAATAGAGAAAAGCAAATCCAACCTTTCAAGATATAGGCATAGGCAATTACTTTCTAAAGAGGACTCCAAGAGTTTAGGAAATAAAACCAATGATTAACAAATAAAAATAGGAAGCTTCTCAAATGAAACAGTCACCTGAGTGAAGAGAAAGTCTACATGATTGAAAAAAATTTACCAACTACACATCATACAGGGGACTAATCTATAAGGTATATAAAGACCTGCTAAAAAATTGAATGCCAAAATATTATCCAATTAATAAATAAGCTAAATGTCAAAAAACAAATATAATTTTGTCAATAAATATTCAAAAAAGTATTAAATATCAGAATGAATATCATCCAAATACAAAGAAAGAGAGGGAGGAGGAAGGAAGGTAAGAAAAAAGGAAGGAAGGAAGAAGAGATGGCAGCAAGTACTGACTTGAAACAAGAGGAACCTTTATTCACTGATGGTAGGATCATAAACTTGTATGACTATGGTAGAAATCTTCATGGAGATTACTCAAAAACATTGAAACCAGAACTAAGATATGACACAGCTATACCATTCTTGGGCATATAAGGAATCTAAGTTAATGCATGCCAGAGATACTTGCGCATCCATGTTTCACACTGTACTACTTAAAATATCCAGCCAAGATGCCTGTCAACAGATGAGCAAATATAAAAATGTGGTATGTATACATAATGGAATTTTATGCCACTACAAAGAAAAATGAAATCATGACATTTGCAAAAAAAAAAAGATGCAGCTGTAAATCCTTATGTTAAATGAAATAAGCCAGTCTCAGAAAAACAAATACTACATGTTTTTCTCATATGCAGATCACAGTGTTAATATTATATGAATACATACACATAATATATACACATATCATATAGATATATGTGCATTTACATATGTATGTTTGTAAGTTATGGAACCAAAAGACAATCATGAGAAAGGAAGAAGAAATCTTAAGGGAAATAGATTGGGTAATGGAATGCATTAATGAAAACAGCTAGAGGAGGCAATGAGCATGGGGAGGATAGTGGGGGAAAGAAATGAATATAAATAAAGCAAAATAACACATATGTATGAAAATACCATGATGAAACCCTAAACCTAAAACATGTATTTAAACAAAACACTATACTCACTGTGACAAGCAGCTTGTAAGAGTTATTACATAAAGCAGATTTCCAGAAATAACAGATTCTGCTTAAGGCTGAGAATTTAGCTCTGTAGTAGAGGGCTTGAATAGCTCACACAAGGCCCTTGGTTTAATATCCATCACTAGAGAAGGATAGGAGGGGGACAAAAATGATAGAAAGTCAGAAATTAATTAGAATCAAATACAACAGACTTCATCTTTAAAATAGATAAAATTTTGCTAAAAATGATTTTTAATTTAAAGACTATTTCAATAGAGTTTAGATAAAATAGTAACAGAGCAGAAAATCTGTGAATTTCAGCAGCTGGTAGGAGGACAGAGATGGATAAGAAAAAGAAAGATAGTCATGTCTTATGAGTTAGGCAGAGAGCAGACAGGTTCACCATGGAGTGTCAGGGTAAGCATGTTTTGGATTTTGGCTAGTATCCAAAGAAAAGATACAAACAGAAAAGGAGGAAAGGTACACTTTTTTAGTTAGAACTCGGAAAAGAGGGCAAGCTTCCAAGTGAAGATCTGGAAGCAATTTTCCTGAATATATTTTTAAAGAAAGTTAGAAACCCTCCACCCAGCTAGTCCCTGAACATCATTCTCCAGGATCTAACTGGACACAAAGATAACAAAACAATTCCACATGCCCAGACAACATTACAAAACGACAGATATGAAAGATTAAGCCAAAGAATATCACCAGTTCTATAGAAATGTTTGTCAATGACAAATGCCTGCATGAAATACAGAACAGAAAATTTAAAAGAACAAACATAAAATTCATCAATGAACTCAAGTAGTTTAAAGAACACATACACAGCCCTTTTCCCTCCGCTCTTCCTCCATCAGCACAATGTGATCCACCGGCAAGGAGGGATGCCAATAAGGCATCCAATAAGATAAGTCTTATAAAACATATAGATTTGTGATAATTGAGACTGAGCTAACAGATGAGAATCCTAGTCATTGGCCAAGCAGCTTTGTACCTAATATGTCTATGTATTATTTTGTCCATTCACGCAGCAGGCACAACTCGGGAGGCTGGCAGAGACCGCCCACGTGATGGTAGGGCTTGGGCGGCTTTGGCGGGAAGATTTATCGTAACAGACAGGAACCTGCATAAGACCAAACCAGGCCCCCTGAACAGAGAAGAGACTGAAGTTACTTTGTGGTATTGAACCAAAATTGTGATGTCGCTTGAAGTGAAAGTGAAAAAAAGGAAATGGTGTCATGTTTCTCTTTCAACATTATTGCAGTACATGCTTGAGTGGATGTTTCTCAGCACTCATGTAAAAGCCCGGCATAGAAGCACCTGCTTGTATTCTCTAATTTTGGGAAGAGATACCAACAGGCCTCTAGTGCTTCAAGATCAGCCTATCAAACTGCAAAGATGAACCCTAGATTAAATGAGAGAACCTGTCACAGAAGGAAAGGAGGGAGTGACTGAGGTAGCAACTGGCCATTGACATCTGACCTAACAGTCATGAACTGCAAATGTACAACAGCAAAAAAGAAGGCAAAAATGTGAAAAAAAATGCCCAGACACAATCAGAGAATGAATGAAAGGAAGATAAGAGAATTGGGAAGCATGTTACAGGCATTAAAAATGGAAATTAGTGTCTCCCCATTTTGACATATCAACACAAGATGGTCTTGAGGGAACCAAGAGGGAGTTCAGGACCACAGGACCCAGAGGACCAAGCAACATCTGGAAAACAACAGCCAGGGCCTGTGACTTCTTTACAGTCATGGTGTGGATGAGTTATCAACCTGCTCTCTAGGTTGTGACCTGACTCAGACTCACAACCTCAGGAGCAAGAGAACCTTGACACTCCTGGCACAAATAAGGAGACTCTCCCCTCTCTCCTGCCTGAATGACAGAAGTGACTGTGCATACACTCTGGAGGAGGTGGATGCCCAGCACACCCATAAGGTTCAAGCCATCTCTGTCCTGCAGGAACTGACCCAGCAGGTCCTGATCTTCTTCAGCTCAAAGGACACATCTGCTGCTTGGGAGACAGCTCTCTTAGACACATTCGGCACTGGTCTCCACCAGCAGCTCAGTGACCTGCAAGCCTGTCTGATGCAGCAGGAACCTCCCCTGCATGTCAGATATTTACATTATGATTCATATCAGTAGAGAAATTACAGTTATAAAAAAACCAGCAAAGTGTTTTATGGTTGTGGATCACCCCAACATAAAAAAACTTTATAAAAGGACTTCAAAATGAGGAACCTTGAGAATATCTGGTCTGTGTAGTGAGGTCCAAGACAGTCAGTGCTACATAGAGAGACTTTGTTTTATAAATTTAAAAAAGAACAATGGTAACTTGTGCCTTTAAAGATTGATCTGTCTATTGAAGTGCAAATGTAAATACATTATATCTTAGCTTTTAAATCTCTCCAAGGAGGCATACTAAAAAGTCATGGAAATATATAAATAAACTTTAAATTGTGTACTCTGTTAACAAAAAAAGAACACACACACACACACACACACACACACACACACACACACACACACACACGCCAGATCAATAAACAAAGACAGAATGCACTTAAAAGGATAAATGCCAAATCGATGCTCAATAAGGAAAATGCCCTCCCCTGATAACGAGATTGATGACTAACTTATGTACCATCTTAGAGCCTTCATCCAGCAGCTGATGGAAGA